ATTTTGCCTATCAAAAAAGAATAACATGGCTATCTCAACAGGTCAACTTTCTAGTGACTAGAACAAAGAACAGCCATCAACTCTGAAACATCTTTGAAAAAAGGAACTCTGCTCTTTGTCATCCAAGCAAAGTAAATGATATAAAATATGTTGTATTAAAGCGTTTGATTGGTTACCAAATACACAATGATGTATGACTTCATTTTATGCACTGGTAACAAAGAAATTCAGCTCTGCAGTACTAAGATTATTTATTACTGTATTGTTGTTATTAATACCACCTAATAATGCAACCAATTATCACAGGAACTATAAGCTCAACTTAATTAACGCAAAAGAATCCACACAACTGGAAATCAAACCTGTGTGGCTCTTACTGTTATGCACAATTAGAATAATTAACCCTTTATCACCATGAAGAAAAATAAAGACAACACTATTAGTTGTGTAAGTAAGGTTTAGAAAACACCCAATTCTGGATTCATCAGGTTAAATGTTTAAACATTCACTGGGCCTAACATGAATAGTGTATATCTACTCTCACATGGAACATCAGATGTTAAAGCAATTCAAGAGCTACTGACACATGTAATTGCTCCTCCCCTCTTCTAGGCCTCTTGCTGCTCTTTATTCCTTGCAGAAAGAAGACTCTCAAAACTGATTAACTCAAAATTAAATAAAATTTAGGCAACTGAATTTCATGAGTTCCCAAGCCCTATCTAAATTCCAGCCACCTCTTTAAATTAATTTGACATTCCACTATAAACAAAAGCAAGAGGAAAGTACATGTGAAAATACAGAGTCTGTCAACTGTTTGGAATACAGATTTACTTTAGTTCCTTTTCTTTAAAGATGTGTACGTTGTCAATATGCATCAATACAACTATTCATTAAAATGATTACAACTATTAAAAACATACCACATTCAACTTCATTTTCTACACTGGGACACCAGTTAGCATTCAGTACAAACTACTGTACATGAATCTCATTTGGATAATTAAACACAACCCACTTCAGAAACACTGGGCAAAATCCTGTTGCACAAATTGACAGCTTCCTACCTGTCCTTTATGTCTACACAAACCAGTTCCAGTAGCAGAAATAATTTAAAATAAATGAATGCTTTCTATTCTTCCCTCAGATTCTGAGGCTCCCAGTGGCTGGATTTTGCCCTTTGGGAACCTCAGGAGGGGGGGAGCCTTTAATAATAAAAAAATCACCACCAGATTACTATTGCCATCAATCCATGAGTGTTTTGTTTGTTTGTTTGTTTTGTTGTTGTTAAAGGCTGCCTCACATGCTGAAGCTTCCCTTGGGCCAAAGGAAGCCCAAAGGAACCTGAAAAAGAAAGGGGGGGGGAGAGAAATAGGACACTTTCAATTAGTTGCTATTAATTCTTTCTGGTGCTAGATCCAGTTTATGCCAATGTCACTTTACGCAACAGGATTTTGTCCACATGTAAGCATGCATGGTTTAAATCAGCCACTTAGAAGTTACATAAATTGTATTCCCTATGAATGCTTAAGTAACTCAAGAGAAATCATGGTTCTTACCTCTGTGACAGAAAATAGTACAGGTATACCACTTGGGATGTAAGGGAAATAATGTAATATTCAAAGTGCTTGGGATGTATTAACATATTATCTTCCTTTACTTTTGTACTGTATAAGGACCACATGGCTTTGCTTGTTTTTTTCTGCAATGCATAACATACTAATATAGAATTAAGTACCTGGAAATGCAATGCAATTCATGTACAAGTAAATATCTGTAGGACTGGGATGTAAATCGGCAAATATTAATGGAAGACAGTTCAACATAACTCCCTTGATGGCTTCACTGGTTCTAAAGAACGACACCCAAAGGGTGCAGAACCAATCACTTTGCATGGCAGACTAGTATATTTATTATCACTTGTTAAATTAATGATCAGTATTTTTAAAGTAATTAAGATGACTTAATGACTTTAAAATGACTTTAAAATTCACTAGATGAATAATTTGAACCAAATTCTTCCCAGTTCACATCTTATTCTTTAAACTAGTACAGAAATACATAAAGATCAAACAACTAGTTAACATACTTGTATCTTGTGTTGCCTTGAGAATTACTAAGCATAGCTAAAATTAAAGAAAAAACTGAATATATATATAAAACTGGAAAAAAATCTTAAATTCCCCCTTTCCTAGCCCAGAAACTTCACATTCTCTCTTCAACCAATTAAAAGATTTTATAAAGAGATAGACCCTGTATAACTCCAGATGTACTTCCTAGGTGTGGTTCTACAGGACAAAGGAAACTATCACAGGATCCTGTTAAAAATTTATCTTCCACTAAAATGATATACATTAACCAACACGTTTAACTCAAATTTATTTATATCATGACAAAACTAGTTATCAATGGGTGTTTCCATGTAATCTTTATGGATGTCTAAATCCAAAAGTACAGTAAACAAGTAAATTAAGAAATAATATAACATTTATGCTATAACATCCCTAGTAGTTAAAAATAAATAATAAATAATAAAAAAGAAATAGTATAACATTTGAAATATTGGCAACTGAACAAGTATTTTGACTATATACCATCAGAGATATAGGTTTTAACATTCCTGACCAGACATGAATATCCCATTTACAGAAAAAAAAATTACAGGTTGGGAGGGGGGTGTCTCTCTCTAGAAGAAAGAAACATCCTTCGTTGTTATTTTTTCTTTATTTTTATTGATATCCCAACTCACAGCTGTCTAAAAATCTATGTTCAATGGAGGTTACTTCCAAATCGATTAGCATAAGGGCCGGTAAACAGACCCATGCTTACTCAAGAGTTAATCCTGCTAAATTCAGTGGCATCTCCTGGCCAGTATCCTATTGTTAGCTCCACGTAAGAGCAAACACACTGAATGCAGTTGTTGGTCAGTAACTCAACCCGTATGTCAATCCCACTGAATCAACGGGCCTACTTCAATTGGAAGCAGCAATTAGATAAAGGGTTTATCCTCGGATCCCGAGTGCGAAAGAGAGAGAAAAGCAGCGCCGAGGCACCGATTCCTCCACCACCACGCCCCTCTCCGCTCCCCCAAAAGAGACGCCTCACAGCCTGGGAGCTTTAAGGTTACAATCGGCGAGTTCGGTCCTTCGAGGTACCATATCAGACGCCGGCAACTGCCGTTGTCGCTGCTGCAAGTGCTGGGCTAAGGGGCTCGAATTTCGCCCTGCAAGTTGGTGTAACGCAACGGCATCCCCTCAGTAACACGGGACACACTGCAAGTCCTGCCCCATGTCCCCTTCCCTTCCACGCAAACAGGCAAAGGAGGGACGGACCACTGCCCGCACAACCTCTCCGTAACTGAGCACATACCACACAACACACACACCCCGAGACGCACCCCACTAACTCCGAAGGGGAAGACCTCCTTGCTTCTTCGCCTACTCTTAACGAGAGGGGGAAAGCAGCCCCCCTTTAAAAAAAACCAAAAAAACGACCAACTGAGCACATACACAAACACACACACACCCCGAGACGCACCCCACTAACTCCGAAGGGGAAGACCTCCTTGCTTCTTCGCCTACTCTTAACGAGAGGGGGAAAGCAGCCCCCCTTTAAAAAAAACCAAGAAAAAACACCGACCCCCTTCCCAGCTTTCTCCGGCCTCCCCCGTTATGCCTCAGGGAGACTTCGGGAGAAAACAGCCTCCCCACAGAAGAGACGACAACGCCCGCCCGGCCGCCCATCCCCTCTCCCGACCCCTCCCCGCTTACTTTCTGCGCCTCCATGGTCAAGGCGGTTCCAGAGAAGAGGAGCAGGCAGGTAGCGGGGCTCCCTCAGGAGGCACGAGAAGGAGGACGGGTGAGAGGAACCGTTGGCGTCTCGAGACCACCACCATGTCCCCTTCCCTTCCACGCAAACAGGCAAAGGAGGGACGGACCACTGCCCGCACAACCTCCCCGTAACTGAGCACATACACAAACACACACACACACCCCGAGACGCACCCGAGTAACTCCGAAGGGAAAGACCTCCTCGCTTCTTCGCCTACTCTTACGAGAGGCGGAGAGGGGGAAAGCAGCCCCCCTTTAAACAAAAAACAAAAAAAACCACCGACCC